ACAAACGTCACAGGAAACCAACCCAAAATGGCTATGAAACCATGCTGAAAGCAGTTTTTGACCTCATCAGAGTCATTTAATAAAGCTTTATTTGGATTTCAGATGCAAGTACAAAAACTTAACAAAATTATTGGCTATAGGAAACCTCCAACAGAATTTATATTTATGAAACTGTGCTTTCAAAGCCTATTGGGAAAGTATGCATAATTTACTTATGCCTCCTGTTTTATATAATATGGTTCAAACCATGAAAAATGGCTGCATAATTAAGGTAAGTAACGAAAGTGTCTATCATTATGAGTTTACACAACCTGTCCTTCCAGACCTCTACAGCAACATTCTGTACATAACCATATAGTTCCAATGGCGTATGAGAAAACATTGGATGAGTTGTTTTAAAATCCTTTGAGTCCTTTAGGAATCTATGAGGCAACAATGACAAACGAATACCTTCCAAATATAACTCTACAATACTCCATTTAGCACTGGTGGCAAATTGTGCTGTTTGATGGATTATGGGAGTGGCAGTCTACCGTATTCAGGGGGCATTCAGGTGGAAAGAAAACAAAGTGTAAAATTCAATCACAGAAATAAACCTCCTTTTTCTGAAACAAGTCTTTATCTGCCCATCACAATCCTAACAAAATGAAGCATGATAAAAAAAACAACATAGCTTTTTTTTTTTAATCTTTCTGGCCAAGTCCTGGAGATGAACTGTTTTAAAAAGGAAAAAAAAAGAAAGTATGATGTCACTTTTCTTGGCGAAAAAGCTTGCACGGTTTCCATCAACTTCAGTAGCAACATTACTCTCTGCTATGAAAAAACTGGGCACTGACTTCTGTGGTGTCACTTAGAGGACAAACCAGCCCCAAGAGCAAACTTCTCACTGCCCTATGGAACGTAAGCCAAAAAAATTAAATTTCATAATGCAACATTGCATATTTAAACAGCTGTACAGTGGTTAGCTGCTATAGGTCAGTTACATAAAATATTCTCTGTATGTAGGTTTATGTATATGTGTGTAGGGATGTGTAGGGTGTGTGTGTGTGCATGTCACATTTTTATGAAAAAAACCTCCAACAGTAGACAATAGTGCCATTGTTGTTTTTTTAAATTCTGGTTATCATTTTAACCCCCTTTGTATGCTGCCTAGGTTGCTTTGTGATTAATCAAATTAATCAAGAATATATATAGATGAGAGATAGAAAATAGAGGATAGATAGATAGATAGATAGATAGATAGATAGATAGATAGATAGACAGACAGACAGACAGACAGACAGACAGACAGACACAGACAGACAAGAGTGAGAGAGAGTGAGAGAGATGACAAAATGGTTTAATCCTGGGTTTTTCCTTCTCTTTCTTTTTTTAATGCAGCCTAGTTTGATCTTGTTTGAGACAGCATTAGAGACAGATTTTCTTTGTTCTTTGCCATATTAGCTAGCAGTCCACAAACTATTTAAAACATCTTCTTTTAATTTAATCCCATAGAAATGAGATGTATATTTCAGCCACAAAGCAACAAGGCATATTTGTATGAAAATCCATTTATTTTATGACTGAGCGAGTGAGGTTTGCTATTTGTCTTCCAGAAACTCAATAAGGCATCAAGACATCAAGAAAATTAAGAATCCTAGAAAGAAATAATGTGTGTGTGGGGGAGACCAATTAAGTCAGCATAATGGCTTTTAACCACCCATTGCTTATTAAGTTCTGCTGGGGAGTGTTATGAATCTTTGTAATAGAGGAATTGGCTCTTTGGATTATTTTGGACCAAAAGAGCTTCATAGGCCTTTGACACAGCAGTAGTTACTTATTTTATAATTGTAAGGATTAGAAAATTTAACAAAAGCCTTGCTATCTTGGTAGAAAAATGTCTGGCACTCTGAGCTTTGAAAAGGATCATAAACAAAATTCAAAAGGAGAAAACTGGAGTATCTGATGGATGAGAAGTATAAATAAATATCTGAGCCCTTGTTGTATCATCTTTCTATATCAGCTAATTCTTAACTATTCTTCCTAAGTACCTTCACCTCTTGTATTTGAAGTAACAATAGCTTATTGTTTCCAGTAACAATAGCTTATTGTATCTAGCTTCCAGACATGTTGAAATGTGTAGTCCTTGCCTTACAACCATTCATTTGATTCTTCAAAGTTAAAACAACACTGGGAAAAAAGTTATCGATAGCCTGTTCTTGAGGTTACAACTGCTGTAGTATCCTCAGTCTTGTGATCAAAATTTGGGTGCTTGGCAACCATCATGTATTTAAAATGGCTGCAGCATCCTGGGATCACATGATCACTGGATCAAGTCATCTTGGTGTAACACTTTGGTTCTCACAGTGGCAACAAGATGTTTCTTGGATGCAGAAAAAAGCAGTGGATTTTGTGACAGCTTTAAGAAATTGTCCATCACTGGCAGAATTAGCAATGAGTTTGGCTGAACAGGCCAGAAATCCTAGATAGTACTTTTGATACATCTTCTATAAATATAAGAACATAAGGTAGACAAGCAGTTCATCCACTTTACATAAATTCTTTACAACTCTGTAAAACAAAACAGGATGCTATTTGAGAACTGCTATTTTTGTTTCAAGGAATTTTGTTAAAAATTCAACTGAATTTTGTGTACTGGATTCTTTCATTGATATATTTATTGGTATTCTTAAAGAACTTGTAAAATAAGACTGTTTGCAAGACCTATTTAGTTTCTTCTTCTGCAAGATTTGTGTTTTGTGTGCGCTTGTTCTTCCTTCTTCTAATTTGCCTGGAACATGTATTAAGTTTATAATGGTTTATAATGGTTTTTTAAATGCATTGTAAGCCTCCCTGAGTCTTCGGAGAAAGGCGGCATATAAATTGAACTAATAATAATAAATAAATAATGGACCTATTTTGAAAAACTTACTGTTCCCAGCTTTAACATTTTTGGGTCAGATATTGAAGAAGATGCGATAGGGAAAGATGCCAGGATGATTACAATGTTTGTAAACCACCCAGTCACTAAGAGTGAGCAAGGGACCATATAAATATTCTAAATAAATAAATAACAATTTTTTGACAGTGCCAATACTTACAGCATGAGATCTTACTCAATTTGGCTAAGGTGTGCCTAGATGTGAGGAAGGAAGGAAGGAAGGAAGGAAGGAAGGAAGGAAGGAAGGAAGGGAGGGAGGGAGGGAGGGAGGGAGGGAGGCAAAAGGGCATGGTTTTGTTGGTCACGTTTTAGTCTCTGTTTCTGTGGATCCTTTGGACAGTTTACCAAATGACTTAGCAGTAATGGGAAACTCACCCAAGGCAGTGACAGAAATGTGAACTATATTGTTTCAGTCCCACTTCTTTTCTTCACAATGTAAGATGATGTAAGTCAACCCTTCTGCCCACCAGGCATTTAAATGATGTAGAATGGTCAGTATGAGCAATCCAGGGCTTTGCTAGACAAACCAGTGTGGTAGGTTAAGTGATGAGTAGTTCCTTGGGAAATCCAGATCAAGTGCACCCTGAGTCACAGATTAACTAGTGGGTTTCTTGGAGGCAATATCTCAACCCAGCCTACCAGATAGGGACGTTGCAGTGGAGAAAAATGTGAAGAGGGTAATCTCTTTATGCCAACTTGCACTCTTGATTTTTTTTTTTTAATTTGATTTATATGCCGCCCTTCTCCGGAGACTCAGGGCGGCTTACAATGCGCTAAGCAATAGCCTTCATTCTTTTGTATATTTATACAAAGTCCGCTTATTGCCCCCCACAACTGGGTCCTCAATTTACCTACCTTAGAAAGGATGGAAGGCTGAGTCAACCTTGAGCCTTGGCGAGATTCGAACCTGCAGTAATTGCAGGCAGCTGGTCTTAATAACCAGCTTAATAACAGGGTGCCTTAGACCACTGTACTACCAAGGTAATTAAATGTGAGAGATAAATGTAACACACAAATATTTGTCCAAAGTTGCTGGGATATAGTGGAAGGACAGAAGTCTTTTGATCTGAGAGGACCGAGACGGAAATGACAATTGAATTCAAACACAGTTGAAAATCACTCTGTTGATTACAGCAGTTCCCCAACCTTTTTGGCACATGGACTGGTTTCATGGAAGACAATTTTTCCACAGACTGGGGGGGAGGGGGGCATGCAACCTAGATCCCTCACATGGGCAGTTTATAGTAGGGTTCACACTTCTATGAGAATCTAATGCTTGATAAGCTGAGGTAGAGCTGAGGCAGTGATGCTAGTTGCTGGAGAGCGACTGCAAATATAGATATAGCTTTTCTTGCTTTCCGGTCACTTACCTCCAACTGTGATGGCCCAGTTCCTAACAGACTACGGACTGGTACTTGTCCATGACCCAGGGGTTAGGGACCCCGGATTACAACACAGCTGACAGTGGGAACATAGACCATTTTATCCAGAACAAGAGGCAGGGGACATTTGTTAAGTACAGTAGGGATGATTCATTTTTATTCTATGATGCACGATTCCATTATGTCATTTGGATTCCTGTTATTTCTATTTTAAGAATAAAAAAAGCTATACTTTGTAGACAACATACAACTCTGGTTTTCATGACCATTTCATGATTTCCCTGAATATTCCAGAAAGGTTGCTTTCTAGTTGCGTTTTCCAGCACCTCTTCCACAAGCCCATGAAAAGAAGTTACTTATGTTTACTCTGCTTATTGAACAATTTATTGATTACATTTAAAGCATATAAACATGCTTTAAAATGCCAATTTAAACTTTAAACTTGCATTTTCAAAAACCAGTCTCCTACTATGATCTTCAAAACTAGGCTGACCAGCCTTATTTGGAGTTCCTGCTGGAAACAGGTCGCTGACTATTCTTTCCAAATCGAATCAACGTGACCCAAAAAATTGATTTGATGAAGAATCTTTACAAGATCCTCCTTGCACAGGATTCCCCCACCCCCCATGGGAAAGTCCTCTCCTATAGAATCGCGTGCTCTCCAAGCAGAGATGATACTGTAGCTTTAATAATGACATCGAGGTAAGGATTCGTTCCAAACTTGGTGTCTGGGCTTCTCCGTAAGCAACGGGGGCCCATTGCTGTAATTTGAGAGGAGAAGAGAGAGAGAGATCCTACGGCCAAAAGCTGAACTCCCGCGTTAGCAGCACCAATCCAGATGTAGAATGAAGGGGGGGAAAGTAGCCCAAAGCCGTTGCAGCAGCTCCGGGCAGGTCTCACTCAAATCTGGACGCCAACACGCCCTCTCTTTCTCCCTCCCCTCCCCGTTTTTAACTTGGGAGTTTCCCAACGCGCGTGGAGACAGGAGAAAGGAAAACGTGGTTAAGGAAAAGTTGGTGGGAAAGAAGCCAGAGGCTCCTCCTTTTAAGGTTTGTTGATCTCTCCCACCCCCACCCTGACAACCACCCCCTTCCCGGGGAAAAAAAAAAACCCCGAAGTTCTCGCGGGCAAATCGGGTGCGAGAAGGGCCAAGCGACGGCTTTCCAGCGGGTCCCAATGAAGCCTTGCAAGAAAGGCGGCCACAACCGGAGGACTTGAAAGTTAGGCGCGATCTTTGCCCTCCTCCACTTCGGGACGCTTAGGGTGCCGGGGCAGCTTCCCTCCCCCCCCCCCCGCCCCCGGGATGCTGCTGGGGCTCCTCTCGGTGTGGCTGCTGAGCTGTTCGATCAGCTTGTGCCACGGCTATTTCGACGGCCCGCTTTATCCGGAGATGTCCAACGGGACGTTGCATCACTATTTCGTGCCCGACGGGGACTACGAGGAGAACGACGACCCGGAGAAGTGTCAGTTGCTGTTCAGGGTGAGCGACCGCCTGCGCTGCACAGCGGACGGGCAGGGTGAACGCTCGCATCCCGCGGCGGCGGCAGCGGCGGCGGCGGCGGCGACACCCGCTCTGACGCTGCGCGAGGAATTCACCCTCCTGGGCCGGCAGGTGGAGGACACGGCGCGCGTGCTGGAAGGCATCCAGAAGAGCATCGCCTACGACCTGGACGGCGAGGAAAGCTACGGCAACTACCTGCGCAGGGAATCGGCGCAGATCGGGGACGCCTACGCCAACTCGGAGAAGTCGCTGGGGGAGCTGGAAAACAAGTTCCGGCAGGGCCAGGAGCACGAGAGCCACGAGGAGAGCCGCCTCAACGACGACTTCCTGGGAATGCTGGTGCATGCGCGGGCGCTCCTCAAGGAGACGCTGACCGTCTCGGCCGGCCTGCGGGACAAATACGAGCTGCTTGCGCTCACCGTCCGGAGTCACGGCGCCCGCCTCAGCCGCCTCAAGACAGAGTATCTCAAGGGCTGAGCGGGAGCGGGCGCCTCGCTGGGCTTCGAGCGATCCTCTCTTTCCCCACCCCCATTCCACCCTCAGTGGCCGGCCACGCCGGCGGGACTCTTGCCGGCCACGCTTTCCCCACGGACGGACGGACGGACGGACTTTCCTCCGTCGCATGCCCACCACCGACCCTCGCTACTGTACCTCAGTGCAGATTGTTTGCAATTTTTTTCACCTTGAAAGAGCACAATAAAGGGCCTGCCTTTAGGTGGCGCGAAAGACAGATCAGACGACAAATCGACAGTTAATTGTTTCCCATTTGGGGGATGGGGGCGCTATTTTTGCTAGGTACCCAAAAAAAAATATACAGAAGAGTTGTCATCCACCTATTTTTTAAGTTCGTTTTTTAGCTTTCTGACAGATGGAAATTCGAGTTATTGAGGAGTGGGGGGTTGTCTATGTCAGAAAGAAAAAAAAAAGCGTTTGTGGGATTCCAACTGGCAAAACGTTGAAAGGCACACGAGCTTGCTTTATTGCATTCATCCGCATTCTTTTAGCATAATGTATCTGAAATAGAGGGAACAAATAAAGTGACCATTGGCACAATCTATGTATTAACTCATTGGGATGGCTTCTTCACCTATAGTTAGGTTGCAGGTTTTGATTCAATTACTTGGAAGTAAGCTCTATTGAGTAAAAAAAAGTCTGGATTTGGAGTCAGTATTTATAAGTTGCTGTGATTAAAGGCTTTGAAGATAATTCCTTTTAATTCCTTGGTTTTAGTGAGTTCAAAGAAGTATATTCAATGGTATAGTCAAACATCTCAGTTCCGGAGGATGAGAGTATCTGCTATGTTGCAAGAGTTTTATAATCTATTGGTCACAATTCAGCATTGTTATATACATTTAAGCCTACTGATCTATTGTTTTATGGAATGTGTTGTATAACCTTGGAAGGAAATGTTATAGACAGGAGATGCTAAATTACAAGTTTGGAACCTTGTCCTCTAGTTCTTTCAGATGAAATCTTTTGAACTTCCATGGTGATGCAGTATTACTAAGAATCAATAATTGACAGAATTTCTGGTGCCAAGGTTTCCATAGATTTTATTTTGCTTGTTTTTTTTTTAAATAAACCTATAAGGTTTCCACTGCTTGCCTCATTCCACATTGACAATTGAAGTAATGTATTAATCCTTTTACTGATTGATTATAAGTACCCTGGAAATTTGTGATGTTATCAATGGCTTGTGGAAAATTATGAAATGATAGTTGTTTCATTTTAATTCATCAGGGGGAAAAAAGATAATGCTTCATGTTGGATGTGTCCCCATCATTTTACTGAGTGTTTTATAGTGGTCATTTGAACAAGGATATGATACCATAACTATAAATATGCACTCAACATTAGGTAACAGTTATTTTCTCTCCCAGATTTATTTTTATTTGGCCTGAATCATGCTGACCCAAAGAAATATCTTTAGCGTTATTTTTTTTAAAAAAAAAACATGCCATTCAGAGAGTCAAAAAGTACAGTTCTCTAGTACAGTAGTAAAAGTTGTAAATCTCATACACTTTGTTCACAGTCTGTGCAGAGTACATAACTGACTGTGTTCTTAACTTTACAAAGAATAGGCATCAGAAGATAATATTCTGGTATCAGAAGACCAGTTGCTTAGCTATAGTTTGATGTAATGGGTATTCTAAAATAAGCAAGGTTTTTTTAAGAGCAAACCAACCCCTATGGTTTCCCGGGGAAAACTCAGCCAAATTGGAAGCAATAACTCACGGTGCCTCTCCCTGTTCTGCACAAATGGCTTTAAATTCCTTAAAGAGATTTTGCAGAGCTAAAGCTACTGTTGAATGTTGCTTGGCTCCTTCTAAAATAACAATTTCCTTCCCAAAGAATTCTTTTGGATTGCCAACAATTAGGCAGATATTGGAACAATTTACCAATCCAAGAATGCCTAAATTGTAATGTTCCATAACTATGATGTCCACAGAGTTCTATAGAAATTTTTATGTTATGTTGATAATATAGGCATAGCCTTTAGAAACAACAGCAAAAAGATTTAATAGATTTTTGCTATTGGTACTCCATTGTCAGGTTATATGGTTTTGTGCTTCTGGAAGGCTGCAACAAACCAAGTAACTTTCAAGAGAAATGAAATGATGGCAATCCAAACCAAGGTGATAAAATGGGTTTGAGGTTTTTGTCTTCTTTTGCATAGAAAACTCATATTTAAGTCAGAGTGAGATTAATTTAAATTTGTCCAACTTTTCAGAAGAAAATGGTTGGCATGCTTGAGGCTTCTAAAATCATGAAAAGAGGTGGGAATAGAGGGACAGCCAGCAAAGCTCCAGAGAAACTGAACAGCAGCTTTGCACTATAACTTAAGACCAAATGACAGTAGCCAGTTTTCATTACTGTAAAATACCCTTTCCTCTTTTGGCCCATGTATATCATCACCAATACTGCTTCAACCAAGCACTGACCCCACTGATTGTGGTAGGGTGTTGCCACATGTTAAAATAAATGATACTCTGCAATTGTAAAATATGTGACACATTTCTCAGATAGGATATTTAGAAATAGGTAATAAAAACCAAAAGATACACAGCAAAATTAAAAGATACTAATTTTCCTGCCATTATCCTCAAAGCAACAGCAATAGAGTTGCATGGTGCTGAATTCTATAGTTCTTTTTTTTTTCATTAAAAAAACAAATTATATTGTGATATGTAGCATAAGACCACAAAGGGTCTGATTTTTCCCTTTTGAGGACTATAGATATGCAGTGTCTACAAGAGCAATATTTCCAAAAGCAATCAACAACAGGATTACAATGGCTTCTACACAGTTTTCTTTAAACATATTAAATAATGTCATTCCATCAACAAAAACCTAATCAGGTTTGCAAATCCATGAAATCGGGCACATCATCATTGCATATCCCATCTATATTGCTGTATGTGAAAATGCTGTCATTTCTGAGACAGTTCATGTTTTCCCTTTTCCTTAAAATGTATGCATCATTTTTGCAACAAAGCATAACAATAATAAAAAACATGGCAGTATCAGCTTCATTCCCATCAAATAATACAAGGGGACATTTTTTAAGATAGCACAATTCAACAAAAAATTACCATCATGAAGCCTCATTGACCTTAAAACTAATCACCGCTTGAATCTTTGTTTGGCATTAGTGAGGCTTTAGTTTTAATGGAATTAAGTTTAGAATTATTTACTTCACCTAGATTTTTTTTACTATCCCAGAAAGGTAGAATATTTTATTATTGAGATAACTTACTAAAGTGAAAGATTGCCATCTAGCGCTTTAGAAAGTCTGATATGCTTAGTTTGGAAGAATCCACCCAATAGAATCAGCTTCTCAAAATGTGATTGATTAGCTCTGTGTTACAAAAGTGCTTTTTCAAAAGGCAAATGGACTTTGTTTTTCTTTGAAACTGCCTTTTGAAAAAGCACCTTTGGGACATCCATGATCTGATGTCCCAAATCTGATGCCTGAGAATCTCCACAGACATTTATGATTTTTAAGTTTATATTATAACTTTAATACAATAAATATATATGAAGCTAAAAACTAAAGCATTCTAAATTTTCATCTTCTTTTCTATAGTCCACTGTTACTCTCCAATGGCAGATGATGTACTTTTTTTTTTTTTTACTTTCTCTAAAACAAATGCTTAAATATTAAGAATGAGCCAAAAAACAAACAAACATTGGATTCATATCTTGGGGTCTATGATTCTTTCCCTCTCTTAACCAAACTCTCTTCATTTTTATTTTCTTTCATTTGATTTTATTACTTTCCCAGTTACAATCTTTGAGCAGAATTGGAGCTCCAGTTGCTTCAGCCAACATGCTAAAATGGGCATGGGTTGTAATTTATACCCAGTCTCAAGATTTTTTTGATATAGAATAAGAAATTTAGGGTTTGTAAATACTCTGGGCAGCTCTGTCAAACATTTAAAGCTATGTTTCCTTTTTAAAAATAAATAATACCTTTATTTCATTATAAAACTTCATTTTAGGGGTCTCGATTGAGGCAGACTCCTATAATTTTAATAATATAACTAACTTATGTTAGTGTGCTTGCCTATTTCCATTCTATATTAAACTGAAAGGATTCCTGTCCCCTTTTGTATCATTATTCTCTCCCTTCCTTTGCATTATCATTTTTTTCCTGTATTATTCATTCACAATTTGAATTCATATTTATGAGAAGCAGCTGCTTTTTCCCCTCAAGATTCTAAACATACTAATTTCTAAACATATTTCCTTAAAAGACTAGTTGCTACTTTGTAAATGTGTTTGGCTCCTAAAGCTAAGTTGTAGTTTTTTTAACATACATCATCAATAATTTTGTCCTTTCCATGCTTTTTGCTAGCTTTTGTTTCTTGAAATCATCATCTTGGACAACAGCAAAACTGCATGGAGAGGTTTTTTTTTAAAAAAAAAAAACTATTGTTCTAAATTGTTAACTAATGTTAACTTTCAACATGGCAAAAAAGCAATTTTGTATTTACTTAGTTTTAATATATATTTAAGAAATACTTAAAAACATGTTTAAGTCCTGCAATTCAGAGAGATGTTAATATTTATCATAGGCTTTGGACAGATTTTTCTTTTAGAATACCAAGGATTTTTTGTAGATTTTGTGCAGTTTGTTAAAACTTGGTTTATTAAGTCAGTTTACAATGAACAAGGATAAAAGTGATACAAAACCGATTAAGGCAGCTACAGATTTAACTGCTGTGTAAAAGAAGAACTTTCAGTTCAATTTCCTTTTCAATTTCCTAAAGGAGTACTGTAGTAGGTGACTTTTTGCACGAGGATTCTTAAACTAAATGTATCTCTAAAGATATACAAGGGCTCAAATGTTTCCTAAATTCTTATTCTCTTTGTAAATTCATTCTCCCAGTGAATGTTGTGCCTAATCTTTGGACTACATGAAGAAGATCCTCTTATATTATCTATAAATCCTTGGAATATTAGAAAAGTAAGCATACTATGTCTGGGCTGCAGAAATTCAGAGGACAATTAGATAGCAGTAAAGGCTGAAATTTTCTGCTGCCATCCAGATGCTTGTAATCTAAGATGTTTGTAGCCTAAATACAATGTGTGTAATTTTAATGACCTACGGTTACATCTGCTTGGAAAAATCAAAAGGCAATCGAAATACAAATCAACAGAAAATCAGGTAGGCAGATATTGCCACTAACTCAAACCCAGCCCTACAGGAGCTCAAAGGAGAAAACGAAATCCATTAGGTCATAAATAGTTGGAACTAGCTCAGAATCAACAACAGTCTCTCTACATTTCATAGATATCATTCAGTTTGGTTTGGCAATTCTTCTTGGCTTGGCATGGCAATGACAGAAAATGTTTGTGTAGCCACTTCATAGATGGAATTCAGTCACAATTATATTGCTCTTCAAAAGATAAATGATACCTTTTCTTTGAATTTTCAATAATACCGGACATGGGCTTTGATTGGAGCAATATTGGATCTTTCTGTGGAATCATATTGTTATGCTTTTGTTGAATAATTTGATTACATTTGTTCTTAAATATGTACATGAAGAGGTTAGCAGGGGAAAAAAACTAATGTTTTCCAAAGGGGTGGAGCTCCAATCAGAACTTAATGAAAAAAGAGATTGAATACTGAGCCCTGTCCCGAAGGTTGACCCAATTAGTATACATGAAATTGATTGTGGAAGCAAAACACTAATATCATAATCTTGCTAGTTTATTTGGATATTATGATGTTATGTTAAAGAATGTTTCCTTACAAGTTTTAAATTTTTAATAAGTCATTATTGTTTCTCTGCTTATTTAGCATATAAATGGACATGATTAAACAAGTAATACTGAGCTATGAGCATCAAAAAGCATCTCATTTTTACCAATTACACACTTCAGAAATTGTTAAAATGGAAAAGAACAGCAATCTCTTCTAATTTGTTTCCATGATTGATTCTGAATTATCCTGCTTATCAGTATTCAGTAAATTTCTCTATATAGGATGCCATAAGTACATATTCTTTACTGTTCTACATCTTCCTATTATTAAGTTAATAAAGTATTTTATGCTTTGAAATGTCTGTTTTGAACACTCCATTACTATATTTTTTTAAAAATAGCCTTTTCAAGGATGCGTAAGTGTGTACATAATTGTTTGTATATACACACATAAAAAGAGAAACATCAAAATGATGAAAACTCCTTAATCTTATAACACAGAGACAAGTATCCTAGACAAAGCTAAATCTAAAGCATGCTAGAAAATTTTATAAACTTGGCATTCAGACAAATCAGTCATGAATAAACACATGGATAAACCACATTTACATACCATTCAGGAGACAATAAAAAGCTAAGAAGGAAATGAAAAAAACAACACATCCTCTTCAGAAGCCAAACACCCAAATAAGCAGGGATTAACACCAGACAAATAATCACGCAGAAGACAATTCTTTAATCATGGAACTATAGGTAGTGCACAATTTACGATCATTTGATTAGTACCGTTCAAAGTTATGATGGTGCTGAAAAGTGGTGAATGGTTCTGACACCTACAATAATCACAGTGCCCCTACAATTTGCAATTCAGGCACTTGGCAACCAGCATGTATTTACCACAATTGCAGCATATTGGGGAATGTTACATGATTACCTTTTGCAACCTTCCCAATCAGCTTCTAATAAGCAAATTCAATAGGGAAATTGGATTTGATTGATAATGGCATAGTTCAGTTAATGGCCATGGCAAAAGTAGTCATAAAATAGATCATGACTCGCTTAATAACTAGCATTGCTTAATATCAGAAGTTTTAGTCTCAATTGTGGCCATAAAGTAAGGACTATCTGTAATATAGTAATTCACTGTGACTGTGGATACAGCTAAGGTTTCTAGATACTCTAGATACTTTTTTAAAAATAGTGTAAAATATTTCACTGTAAATGAAAACTAGATGCCGAGAAGTAGCTGTAACTGTAGATGCCTTTTAAGAGTCAGTGATATTAGAATATAAGGAGATATTACACCCTGTTTCCCCGAAAATAAGACATCCCCTGATAATAAGCCCAATCAGGCTTTTGAGCACATATGCTAAAATAAGCCCTCCCCCCGGAAATAAGCCCACCCCAAAAATATTTAAACACATGCGCAGCCGGTCCCCACCATTTCCTCTGGTAAGGTTAGGGAGACAGAACTGGAAATCAGGTAAGATGGCAAGAGGAGCCCCATCGTGCCCCAAAATAATAAGACCTCCCCAAAAATAAAGCCAAGCACTTATTTCGGGGTTCAAAAAAATATAAGACAGGGTCTTATTTTCAAGAAAACACAGTAGTAGATAATCAGGTTTCAGAAACCTGTTTAGCCTAACTATTCTCTATATTACGAATATACAAAGGAATTGCAAGAAGAAACTATGTCATCTTAACCTTTGGGAAAGGCAGTAGAAAAAGCATAGTAAATTACTTCACAAAGACACATAACTAAAGATGTATTGGATTACTGCCCAAGATAAAATGCAGGATAAAATAATAATAACTTGATATACTTCAGTTTAATTAGTTGTTAATGATGGCTAACCTCGGGGCTTGATGAAATCAGTAAATTAGCTTAATATTAAATGTTTCAGTAAAATGATATTGTAACAGCAACAAAAATGTGTAACACACTATAAAGGAAATGAATTCCAGATTTGTATTATGTATTACTCTAGATATTTTTAGTTAAAATACTCATTTTATAACCATTTTGAAAATAGAAGGGCAATCATAATGAGTCATACTTCTGCTGAACAATTATGTAATCTAAAAGAGAGCAGGCTTAATTTCAGTTGGATAATGTTCTTTTCCACTTAGATCTTAAATACCCTTTATAATTTTCATCCGATGTACCAGTCAAGCAAACATTTCAGACTATATTGCTTGCCCAGCTTGTGTGCAAAAAGCTGCAGAAATATTTTTAACTCTCAAGATGCTATGGTCACACCATCTTTCATTTTATTGCATTTTGTAAAATTATGCATAATAGTAGAAAAGGGGAAATAAATCATAAGGCTGCAGTAAGAAAACAGAAATGTATCTAAACCCGTGATGGCAAGCCTATGGCATGGTGGCACATGTAGTCATATCGGTGGGCACGTGAGCTCCGGTGCACATGTGTGCGCCGGCCAGCTGATTTTCAGGCCTTCTGGGCCCACCAGAAGTAAGGAAACAGGCTGTTTCCTGCCTCTGGAGGGTTTCGGGGTGTGGTGGGGAAGGCCCATTTTTCTCTCTCCCCTGGCTCCAGAGCCTTTTTAAGAGTCTGGGGAGGATGAAAACAGCCTTCCCCACCCCCCTGGAGGCCGTCCAGAGGCCGGATACGGACCATTTGCTGTATCCGGCAAATGGGCCGTATCCGGCAAATGGGCCATTTTCAGCCTCCAGAGGGCCTCCAGGGAGATGGGGAAGGCCGTTTTCACCCTCCCCAGACTTTTACAAAGGCTCTGGAACCTGGGGAGAGCAAAAAACGGGCCTTCCAGTCCCACTGGAAGTTGGCAAACAGGCAGTTTCGGCCTCCAGAGGGCCTCTGGGGGAGGAAAGGCCATTTTTCGCCCTCCCGAGACTCCTAGAAAGGCTCTGGAGCCTGAGGAGAGAGAAAAATGGGCCCACTGGGCCATCAAGTGCCAGAAGCAGGGGGGTCGCACGCACATGCGCGGGGGCAAGGCATATAGAATTATGGGTGTGGGCATGCACACATGTGACACCCCCCCGCTCCTGGCACGCAATGGCAAAAAGGTTAGCCATCATGGTCTAAACTAACATCATTTGCTACATCTGTCCATCAGTTTCTATTTTTACAAACCAATCTTGATTCCACTATATTCAAACAATGCTTCATACATTGCTTTTGTTCTTTGCATTTATTGCTCCTATCTGTTTCTGGAGTTCATCAACCTCTCATCCAACCAAATTTTCTTGGTCTTCTTCTCTTTTAGAATCATACACATGTCTAGGTATTTGTTTTGTGATTTATTTTTTTATATGGCAAGTTTCAGATCTACACTGTTTGTTATATCATAAAATCACCAAAATATCACTGCGAAGCCTTCAGATTCTAGCCAACAATACAGAATCTTCTACTCACAAAAGTAATTACACATCCACATTTCCAACCAACCCACTTCTAATGTCATTTTACAAATTAAAAATTTATCAATAAGTACATTAAATTATCAAGAAAATATCTTACATTTTTGGCTTAATTCCTGTTCAATATTTAACCATTGTTAAGCATTCTATTTATTTTCATGTATACTTTACTTCTATCATATATTATTCTTATTACATTCAGCAGTTCAGCTACTCTTATTGCATTCAATTCCATATTTGCACAAAATATTCAATAATTAAAACATGATAAAATCCATTTTATCCTACACTTTCTCTAACTCAACAAACATGCAGTAAACTTCCTTTCTCACATTTATTTATTTCTCAGTGACCTGATAAAGCGCAGAATTTAGTCTGCACTACCCTGCCAGACATAAAATGAATCTATGCTTCCCAAAACTTTTGTTATCACCTTTCAATCAGTATTCTGCTCAATACAGGCACACTTCACAAATAACACTAACAATAACATCATTTCTTCTATCATGAGTCATAGATACAGTATAGTCCTCACACACAGATCCTGCACAATAAAACACATCCAAATATCTAGTTACATCATTTATACCTACTGCCATACTGTACTCTTCTAGAGATTCAAGATCAGAATCTGTAATATGTATCCATACTTGTACATTCTCTTTCTTGGAGTGGTTGTGCTATTATTTTAACTTCTTTTATTCTTTCCACTTCTTCCATGGCCCTTCATCCCAGAATCCATTTTTGCTATTATAAAATAATGCTTTTATAAACTTTTATTGCATTAATATCCTTCACTAATTTTCTCAATTTTTCACCATAAACAATCAACACAATCATGCTTTTAGAATTGTACAGGTAGTCCAGAGTTTAAGAACATGTTTCATTCTCAAATCTATCCTTAAGCCGAATTTGTATGTAAGCCAGAACAATATTATTGTATAATACTGAATAAGTAGTATTGTGTGATGAACTTGAATCGTGTATTTAACTTGAATCATTGTGTATTTAACTTGAATTTTGCTACAGTTGCCTCTATTCTTAATTATGTTTTGTCCTTGTCCTTAAACTGGGCATTATTAACCCGGGGACTTCTTGTATTCATTTTATTGTCTTGTATGAACAATAGACATGCTTAAGCCACACATTTGAAACAAACAGATCTTTTTTTAATTACAGTGGATACTGTATTCAACAGTCACCCTTCTAATTCATTCTTCAGAATTCATTGGGCTTCTAAAAGGCCCAATCACTTTTTCTTTATTCACCTCATTCTCACCATTCTCTTTCATGCCACTTAACAGAATTCTTCTTCCTCTTCCACAATCCTTCAGAATATTATACAATTCCAGTCAAAAATAATATCTGCTTGTTCATTTTTACTATTCTTTGGAACAAATGTGCAACTAACAGTAGCTTAAATATTCCTATTTTCATTTGCACCCACAATAAACTAGATAACACAAATCACATTTTCTGAACTGTGAAGCAATTGGTGCCAAAGGCTAAAGAAAGAAATCTGCTGATACTGCCTTTTTTCTCTTTCTGTTCAGCAGAAGTATTACAAACAGAACTATACTTGGAAATGAAATGGAGTCATGACATCAGCTTTCTGAACCCAATCTCAAGATTTTACCTAGAGAGATCATTGCCTGTTTTAATGGTATCAAATTAAAGCACAGTTTAAGTATACGGTTTAATTAAGAAATCTTTGTCTCAGAACAAAGATTTTAGAATGTATATCTGTGGTGACTAAGAACTGACAACAACTTGATATCACATCATCAATCATTTTCAATACTTGGAAAAACTTGACAGTTTTGTTCAACTTGATGCTTTCCAAATGAGTTGGACCACTCTTACAATCTTCACGCTGCTTCCAGTAGTAGATGAAGATGATGAAAATTAAAGAGAATTAAAATTCAATCCATTTTTCAAGACACCAGTCTGGGGAAGAGTGATTCAGAACTTACCAGATGACAGATATATTAAATGTGTGGTAAAAAGTTTCGACTATGTTTATTTTTAAATAAAAAGCAGCCCATTGGAAACGACAGAGTTGTGGTTGAGAAAGAACTGCTGCTTATCTTTCCTGCTACCCCTTGGAAGTAGTAGGGGGACTACTGATCAAGAGCGGTAGGTCCTCCCCCACATACTTTTTTGCTGCAGGCTGTCATTTCTGGCTAATTCTCAAAAAGCAAAGAGGCAGGCCAGAGAAAACAGCCGCTGCTCTTCATCTTCTCTCTTGCTCATCCCACCCCCAATACTATAAAGCAGAACCGGCTTCAAATGCTGCCTTGAGACCCCGTGCAGCGGATAGTAATAAGGAAGCTGGAGAAAACTAGCACTCCCCGTTCCCTTCATTCCTTCCCCCGGTTTCCCAAGCAAGCTGCAGCCCTCATGCCACCTGTCCTCCAAGGCGGAAGAGGTAGTGCTAACTCCTATTAGAAGGCTTATTCCTGCAGGCACAGGAGCAGGTCGAACAAGCTCCAGTGGGTGGGAATCTCTCGGGAATCTCCTTAATTCAGCACGTGATCCCCGGGGACGCAGCCTTGTGCCTCGCTTGCCCCAGGGTCTTCTGAGCAGGGAACATTCGCTCCATTGACATTGATGAGGCATCTTTCAGCCTCCGCTCCGCATACATTATTATAACTAACCGGTGGCCAAAGGCCCGCAACCCTACTGCATCTCCCAGGGTGCAATGCGTGCGTAGATTTACGCTGTCCCCCAAAGGCTGAGTTGAGCGTGCGCGCAAGTCTCTCTTCCTTTATAGCGACCTTCAAAGTTGCTACTTATATTTTTTTACCGGCGGCCGAGCCCGAGAGCTGACCTTAGTCCTACTTTCCAATCCTTGTTGGCTGAGTCCGCTGGCACCGCTTTCTCTCTGCCCTGTCAAAGCAGGAACAGGCCACGGCCCTTTGCTGGTTGTCCCGTTTCTAATGTCTCGAAAGTAAAGAAGCTGCACCGCCCAGCTCTTACAACTTGTAGAAACAAGTTAGTGGTCTCTAAACTGTAGCTGCGGTTTGTCCACCGGGCAATCGGGACCGAGAGTGACCACCTTTTTCGGCCTGGCCAGGAGAAGTATTGCCCACTGTATGAGACTGGAAATAGATGAGTGTAAAGAAGCCCATGAGTCACCTGTAAGGTAGGATTTCACAAGTACCTGTTTAGTTTATTAAATTAGTCTAAATAAGTATGCATTCTTGAGACATAATAGGCTTACAATTTGCATCCAAAGCAAAAGTTTGTGTAAAACAAATTTATATAACGATTGTGTGAAATGCAATTGATTTTATTTCAATCAGTAAACACCCACATGGAAAAATGGGGCGATCCCCCATGTGAATATGCCAGCCATGCAATGAATGCAGGAAATGCCTACTGTATTTGGAAATCCATCAGAAAATCAAAACGTAAATAACATTTGAATGTTTCAAATGCCTCTTCAAATTTTGCAGTTAAATTCAGGGTGATGAAGTTCCTCACTGGTAGCAGTTGATTAATTTTTGCTCCTGTTGGCCTTCACAGTAGAGTAATAGTGGGGAAAAGCACATGCCTGAAAGGTTGAATTCTGTGCCAAAAAAAAGTCACCACTTAAAAATAATAGTAATATATTTTTTTAAAAAATGACTCGGTTGTACATTAAATGGAACTTTGGTATAATCAGAATTGGAAACAAGTTTCATATGACACAACCTAAAAAAAGTATATCACCACAGAGTTATTTCTGTTTTTGTAAAATGAATGTATCTCAGCCGAGAGTAATATTCATGTGATAAATATTTTAATTTAAAGGATAACAAACTTGGAGGTGAGACACAATCTTTTTACACCATGTGAGTTCTGATCAATCCCCTTGGTGTGTTGCAGATGACTAAAACCATAAATTTTATTTAACTCTGTAAGAAATTAACGTGGTGATAGACCACTGAACATTCTGAACCTTTAAAATAAATTATAGACCATAAATACTTCGAAATTGATAGTACATATTTATGGAGGGATGGCATGATATAGGCCACATTTTGTCACCTTTGGAGGGGGTGTTATTTATTTATTTATTTACTTAGTTATTTTTCTCCTCCCCTTACTACTTTTCTAAATAATTCAAAGCATCGAACCTACTAATACTCCTTCCTCCTCCTATAACAACCCTATGAGATGAGTTGGGCTGAGAGCATGACTGGCCCAAAGGCGGGGCTAGTCTCCTGATTTCTAGCCTGTCTTAATCACTAGACCAGTCTGGAGTTTTGAATCTGTGAATCTCAAGAAAGTGGATAGCGTTCTCTGTGATTTCAGTTCTGTGGATTGGACGGCTTACCTCACTTGGCTTGTGAAAGCTGCTAGGGAGAGGACTGGAAGCTGGATCAAGGCTGTAGTTAATACTTATTTGAGAGAAGGTAAGTTCTTAGCAACCCTGAAAAGCAGATATGACTCATCCCTCAGTAGGTCAGTGATCTGAATAAATTACAGGCTATATAATATAAAATTGTGGATTAAGTCTGTGTGCAAATGGTTTTGTTGGTTTATATTAAGGATCACTACCCAGAGACCAGTAAAAATGAGGGCAATCCAAATTCTTTTTTTTTTTTTTTTGATTGATACTAATACATATCCATGTTTTGTTCAGCTGAGTCAACCTTGACCTGGTGAGAATCGAACTGCTGGCATTCGGCAGAATTAGCCTGCAATACTGTATTCTAACCACTGTCCCACCACGGCTCTTATAATACATTACTTTTTTTGAGGGATTCCCATAAATTGCTTAACGCATTGTAAGCTGCTCTGAGTCTCCGGAAAAGGGCGGCATATAAATCGAACCAATAATAAATAATAAATAAATGGACTATGTTTAGCTACAATTATCCTTTATTATCACTGTTCCATATGCTGTGTTGCTCTGGTTTCAGTTGGGTTTCTCCCTGCTACAAATAGCACTGAACAGAAGTTTACTTGCCCCACCCCACCCCAAATGTTCTCTGGCACTCAGCAGACCTATTGAATAATGAAGATATTCAATATATGAACAATAAGGAAAGAACATATGTAGTAGTTTATCTGGTTGTTTCATTTAATTACACAGTGCCATTCCCTTCAACATGTTTTGACTGTCAGGCCATTGTGGAGATGTGAGTTCAATTGTGTGCATGTTTTTACTTGCCTGTGTATAGTAAGAAAGGGTACATCTATAAGTGTAGAAAGATATAAGAATTGTCTTCTTGCACGCACATACAGAAAAATCAACGGTAATTAAATAATTTTAAGATGTTTGATCTCATTTTTGTAGTGTATATTATTATTAAAATATATATTGTGAGTAGTCTTTCTACATATCTTCATGTTCTGCCACAATAATTTATTGAGTTTCCCACCCCACAAGCATATGGATAATTTTTCATAAATTAGTATTGTTCGTTTTCAAAATCAAACTTCTGTGTATAGGCTCAGAGACGTTCACTCAATTGTGGTTTTGTGGGGGAGGAAATCCCAAGCAAAAGGTATTAATTATGGAAACCCATCACATTTGGACAAAACCAGGTCAAAGAAGCTATTCAGTGGTCTCTGGTGCCATTAATGTCACATTTTCAGAAAAGCTTTGTTTACTGAGATGCCTATGCAGCATTCACAGCTACAGGAGAGTATGGATGGAGAAGAGAGAAGATTCAGTTTATTCAATTGTTAACATATAAGATTAACATATGAGCCGCAGGGGCACAGTGGTTAGAATGCAGTACTGCAGGCTACTTCTGATCACCAGCTGACCTCAATTCTGCAGTTCGATCCTCACCGGCTCAAGGTTGACTCAGCCTTCCATCCCCCTAAGGTCGGTAAAATGAGGACCCAGATTGTTGGGGCAATATGTTGACTCTGTTAACCGCTTAGAGAGGGCTGTAAAGCACTGTGAAGGGCTATATAAGTCTTAAGTGCTATTGCTATTGCTATTGCTATGTAGGGAAGTGACAAGGAAAAGAATCAATGTACAGCTTTACCAGACTTATTTAATTTTGTTACAGATGCTTGATGCCTAGCTTCCAGTGTTTTTATCATTTGAATTTATATTCCACTGTTTTATCTGTAGTATTAATGAAAATACCGAAAATTGTTATTTAGGGGCAAATATCTTCATACTCAGTATTCCTTATTAAAATAATTCCTTATTTTAATAAGATGCAATTAACTTTCTGAAATACAGTCAGTGAGACTTTATTAGATGGGGGTAGGTAATAGGGGGTAGAAATCACTGAAAGCAGAAATACTCCTTCAAATACAATCTTTTCCCCCCCTAACTATTCAAATGGTGATTTTTTTTTTCTTTCAGAACTGATGGAAGACAACTTTCATAAGAGAAGGCATTGATGAAGGGAAGACCAAGCGAGTGAAAGTAAAATGTGGATGTTACTTGCTAAAAACTTGCTAAGGATAAAACTTTATGAAGACTGCTCTCGAATTTTGCTGCGAACACCAAAGGGCAAGCCGAGGTATCAAAAGTATTTTTCATTGAGCAGTAAACCTTGGCTACATTCAGCAAGGATAGCGCAGGCAGTTCAAACCTTCAATATTGGCACAACTATCCAGAAAGTGGAAACTCTAGAGAAAAAACAGTTTATCTGTGTTCATTGGGAAGATGGCAGTGAGAGCCTTTACCCGTCAGTGTGGCTACGAGACAATTGCCAGTGCCCAGACTGTTTCCTACACTCTGCTAAAGCACGCAAACTTCTTCTGGAAAATCTAGATATCAATATTGAAGTGAAGGATGTCATTTTGACAGAACAGAAAAAGGTAAAAGAGTTTATGTGTACGTGCAGTTGTAATAAAAATGAATGCAACAAAATAAAACCATGTAATAAATCCATAAAACAAAATCATTTGACTCAAGCTGTTTTGGCCAAAGAGACAACACTTCCTCTGATTTAGATATTAGATTTCTGTTAATGCACCCTAAAATCTACCTTTCTGCAATCACATCATTCTGCTGGCCAGTATTTTCTGCAGTCTACTGCTGTTCCAAAATCTTTTTAACAAGTGTTTTTTACCAAGCCAGTTATTTCTCATCTTGTAACCTTGCTGTGGTGTCAGTTAACTTTTGTTCTTTGCAAAGGTACAAGATGTTCACTTGCGTGGAATTCACTTGGCTTCGCATTCTTTGCAAGGCCAAGTGAATTCCATGAAACTATTTTGAATAACGTGCTATTCAGACTGTGCTACAGGCAATACAAATGCATGCCTTTCAATGTTTGTTTCTATTTCATGGAAGAAGGTAAATATTGTATGGCCAGATGACCACGCCAGTGAATTTGAGGCCGAATGGTTGAAAAAAAGATGCTTTTCTGACCAAGCTAGAACAAAAGCACAAGAAGAATTATTTTTATCAGGTAAGAATTTATGTTGTTGTGCTAAAGTATTAAAGCAAGACTCTTAAACATGATCCATAGGCCACATGCAGATCTCCAAGTCATTTTCTATGACCTACATAGAAGGCACTGGTGTTCCTATCTAGGAAGGCCCTGATGCCAGACACTACATAGATGCACCGTCTAGGTCATGATATCTGTTCTTATAATTCTCCCAGTCTTAACAAGGTTGTGTCCACTGGGTTGTGCAGTTGGCACCTCAAATTCTATCGGGCCTGGCAGTGCTGCCTATGAGAATCCTTTACCATGGAAAGGCACTGCTTCTGAGGCAGCTGTAAGGAGACAGTGTGAAATGAGGCTTAGTTAGGGAAGATGGGCCAGGAGTGAAGAAGGAGGAGACAACTGAGAAGGACTGGATCTCACTGCCACACTGTAGGGATTTCTCTGCCATATGAGGATCAAAAAGACATCAAGTAAGCAAGATTTTGCTATTATGCAAAGGAAAGAAGGATTCTGCTGGGCCAGGAAAGGAAAGAAAATGAGAAGCAGGCAAAAAGAACAAAGTATCTTTCCACTCAGGAAGGAAAGAGAATGAAAACAGTATTTTGGCAGTTCTTAGTGGAATAGAATTCCTAGATTATATCATTTTAGATAGAATCTTAAAGTCATAAATATATTACTTGTAAACTGAGTAATAAAAACCATTTTTGATTTTATGGTCAATGAAATCAAATGGCTATCTAAATGGTCGAAGTGCATTGCTCTATTTCTCAAATAGTTCTGATTTGTGGTATTTTTTTTAATTAAATGCATTTATATTTATAGCATCCGTGATTCTACTCATTATATTCATTTTTGACACACTATGAACTTTTGCATCAGTATATAAAAAGGCTTTAGAGTTGCAGCCATTGGGCTAATTATAATAATGGCACTCATGATTATTTGCATTTGAAAGCTCTGTATTATAGTGCAGAACTATTGGTATGCCAGTATGCCATTACTAATTTACTAAAGACATATTTATATGTCTTTTTGTTAAAACTGGCACTAACTCTTGCCTTTTAAGAACCAAGTGAATATCTCTACTGTACAAAGCTGCTTGAAAAGATCAGGAAGAGGAAGAATCACTGATTGACTAAAACTCAGAAGGAATCTGGCAGCACCTTTTCCAACTAGCAATTAAATTAAATTAAATTAAATTAAAGCTTAATTAAAAGGCATAAGCTTTCGTGAGCTGACATTCTTGCATCAGATGAATAGCTATAATGATATAGAAATAGGTAGGCAGGCAAGCAATCCAGGTTACAGATGCTTATTTTATTATTTTTACATATTTTAGTTTCATCACCTATTAATGATGTGCCTATTCAATATAGTTCAGCAAAGTAGTAGCTCAATATTACCAACAATGTTGCGTAATGAATGAATGAAATGTTAAGAGCTACCAACACCTGGACTGGTTTGGAAGCTGTTGGCAAATCATCTAGCAGCCATTTTTGCAGCCAAAAATGCTGCAAATAATTTTGCTAGCTGGACTAGATAGACCCATTCTATCACTTCCTACTACATTTTCTTGTTGACCATTTCTGGGCAGGGTGTATTTAGCAGAAATGAGAAAAATACGCTATTTGCAGCTAGCGGTTAACTATGGTTTTGCAGCAAACATCTAAAGTTCAGTTTTACTGTACATGTAGACTTTTTCTATGTTCTCCTGCGGATGTGGATAATGAATAGGAAGCAAACCGTTTGGGGGTATTTTCAACGGAATCAGCTATTTCTCCCAATAATACATCCAATCATACACTTTCTCGATTGCAACAAAATCAATAAAATCACCCCACGAATAGCTGCTTTCTGAACAATTTGTTGTCGGATATAATTCAAATTTCTGGTAAAAACTTGATACTGCTTGAGTTCGAGGTACAGGAGTATAGCCTTTATTTATATAGCTTCTTTCTTCTCAGAAAGATGTGTTGCAGAGATTTGTGTACATATATTGTGGGCGTTCATCTCTATGTAAATATGTACAGTTATAAAGCATTATCCTCCAGTTAATAAACAGGTATGTTGTTACTTGAGGATAGTTCTGCATTCTTCTTTTGCTGAGCATGCAAAAGAAGAGAGGGAGAGAAATGAAAGAGAATATGAAATACAGGAGCTATTTTGTTCCTTAGCTAGAGGTTTTTGCAATGCAGAAGCCCAGCTCATCCCTTGAGAGCAGTAAAAAAAAATCATAAATGCCTTAATTGAATAATATAAATGGTCTCTGTTAACCTGGCCATTAACATAATGTTTTTACACCAAATTCCAGGAAAGGAAATGGCTTCTTACAGTGAATTGATTTATGGAATTTTCCTTAGATTTTTTTTGTCTAACAGAGGCTTGAATTATTTAGTTCGTCACATGATCGAGAGAGTTACCCTCTCTTGGTCACTAGGGAGCAATGGGTCTTTCCCTTCTATCCCATCACATTTATTTTCACTGAGCAACAGAAACATGAAAGGAACACATATTTTCATTTGCTTTAATTTTATATCATATATTATGAAATCGGGCAACTAAGTGCTACACACCACTTTAGATAATACAGTTTACAAACCAATATACAGGTAGCCCTCGACTTACGACCACAATTGAGCCCAAAATTTCTGTTGTTAAGCGAGACATTTGTGAAGTGAGTTTAATGACTTTCCTTGGCACATTTAATTACTTTCCTTGGCACAATTGTTAAGTGAATCACTGCAGTTGTTAAGTTAGTGAGTGATCTGGTGGTTACGTGAAATCTGGCTTCCCTGTTGACTTCACTTGTCACAAGGTCGCAAAAGGTGATCACATGACCCTGGGACACATCAAAAGTCATAAATATGAACCAGCTGCCATGTGTTCAAATTTTGATCACATGATCATGGGGATGCGGCAAAGGTCGTAACTCTGAAAAACGGTCATAAGTCACATTTTTCAGTGCCATTGTAACTGAACAGTCACTAAATGAACTGTTGGAAGACAAAGTCTCTCTCTCTCCCTCCCTCTCTCCCTCTGTCTCTCATTTTAAATCACAATAGCCACTTTTCTAAAAAGTCTGTTCCCCCTATTGTAGATCTGTTTTTAATTAGTAATGACAAAATTAGTTTGAAAGTCATGAAAGAGTTCTATTGGACTTCCTTCTGAAATCTAAGCTACTAAAATTGCCTCCAAATTGTTTGACAAATAAACCCATTTTTCAGTGCAGAGCTGTCTGCCTTTTTAACATTTCTTAGCAAATATGCTTTCAGTAGCAAAGTGGAAATTATAGTGAGTGTGGTTAAGAAGTGGAAACCATGTGGATCCTGAAAGAAGAACATAGTGAACATGTGATTCCAACAAAACAAGGCAGTCACTATGGGAAAAAATAATAATGGAATCACAGTAATCAACCTTAAGCAATATAAATGTTTGATATGTTTTTCATCTTCTGAGTTCACCCTGATTTCAAGTTTATTGCTCAATGCAGATATCAAGCCAATTCTACACAGTGGCTTTATTTATATCTCCCCACTGATATATGAGTAGGATTATCCCAGTGTCAGAAATTCAGCCTGGGAACTTCCCCATCATGTACTTACCCATGAATTCCTCTGCTTTCTTTCCTACATTAAATAGACAAATATACAAGTGCATTAACCTTTCCTGAAGACTGATACACTTTTCTCTATATATCTCTATATATCTCTATATATCAAGAAGCAAAATTAATGTATAGAACCTTGTAAATGCTCTATGTTTGTCTTGAGTCAGAGTTAACCAGACAGTTTAATTCTTATCCAATAACATTAACGATTTTTAGATATGTACAGGTAAATTCTTGCTTACTGGCTGCTTTGTGCAGTGATCATTTGAAGTGGTGATGGTAATGAAAAAATAACTTTGAGACCAAACTGCATATTTAAGATCTGTACAATCTCTTTCGTTCTCTCTCTCTCTTTCTCGCTCTCTCTCTTGCTCTCTCCCCCCTCCCTCCCCCCCCCCTCTCTCTGTCATTTGTTTGCCACTACAATCAGTTAGTACAGCTTGTCCTGTGCCTCCTCCCCCTCAGAAGTAGAGATACTGGAAAGGAAGGAATTACAACAGAGTTAGCACACACACCATGGAGAATACACATCAAAAGGAATGTACCACTACCAACTGTTTGCTAATATGTTTCTCATTGGTTACCGTAATTATTTTTCTGTGATTAATGTTAGGTGTTAACAATTGAAATATACCGTATTTTTCGGAGTATAAGACCCACCGGAGTATAAGATGCACCTACCTTTTTTGGTGAGAAAAAGAAGAAAAAGAAATCTCCCTCTGCCTCTGAGCAATTTTGCCTCGTTGCAGCAAACAGCAAACAGCCTGCTTTACTTTCATTTTTGTTTTCAGCATAGCTTGATTAGCACAAGGGGAAAAAAAATCTGCTCCAGCAATTTACCTCTTTGCAGCAAGCAGCAGAGCCCTGCGCAAAACAGCTGAGAGCAAATCAGCTGAGAGTCGGGAGGCCGATCCAATCAACTTGTGCTAATTGACCTGTGCTGAAGCTGAAAGGAGCTGTTTTTTCTTGCTGTTTGCTTGCAAGGAGGTAACTGCTGTGAGGCAGAGGCCAAAGGGTGGGGGCAGGCCTACATTCGGTGTATAAGATGCACCTAAATTTTCACCCCCTTTTACGGGAGAAAAAGGTGTGTTTTATAATCCGAAAAATACGGTAGATCTTTCAAGGGATTTCCTATTTTCAAACGAATCCCATAGCATCTCCATATATGGCTTGGAAAACATACCTAATATTCTGGATATTTGCTGTTACTCATTTGAAAAATAATGAATTATGTGATCCAATGATCTAACTGCTGATAACATAGCTTTCTGTGTTCCTATGAGCATTTTAAATCAGTTGTGTGTTCCATATACCAACTCTGGTATCTCCAATACCAATGATCAAATGATCAAAAACAATTAACAGAACAGTTTCAGGTTTAGGTTGGATATATGGAATTTATTAAGAATTG